GCTGAGTGTTTGTACTGAATTTGATTGCAAATGTTTAGCACAGAGGACACTGAGAATCAGAAAGACAATTTTTTTAAGAGGCTAAAACTAACTCCGACAAGAAAAAGCAGCTGCTATTTTGAGATTCTAAATGGGCGACTAAAACATGGCAGCAGGCCAAGCTTTGAAAGAAATTGCATAAAATAATATGTAGCAAATTACAGCGGGTGTCTCTGGATTGAAGGTTGAGTTTTACCTGTAGTGTTTCCACTGACTTTTATGGAGGCCACTGGAAAACGAATTAGCACAAGTGTCATGTTCCAGGGAACACATGCTAGGCTGTGATTACTGAGCTCCAGCTGAACTGTAAAATCACTTGTCAGCAGTTGATTTGTTTCTGGAAAAGCCCAACCTCTTGATTGAATTAGTTTGGTGGTTTTCAGTGGAGGGCAAAAATGTGTCCGATTGCGTTACTCTCTGACAGACAGTCCAGATATTGTGACGGTTCAATCATACTGTGGCCACCGGATCAAATCCCGGCCGGGGGGGGGCATTGTGGGTGGAGTTTGCATCTCTATGTTCATGTGTGGGTTTTCTATGGGTACTCCAGTTTCCTCCCACAGACCAAAAACATGCAGGTTAGACTGATTGGTAACTCCAAATTATCCCTAGGTGTGAGTGAGAGAGTGAATGGTTGTTTGTCTCGTTTGTCTCTATGTGGCCCTATGATGGACTGGAGACATGTCCAGGATGTACCCCGCCTCTCACACAGTGACTGCTGGATATGGGCACCAGTGACCCCCGTGACCCGAATAGAAGAAGTGGGTAAAAGATAATGGATAAATGGAACATGCATTTTTTTAACATACACTGTACAGTGTATATATATATATATATATATATATATATATATATATATATGTGTGTGTGTAATACACACACAGTGTATATACTTTTCCAGTCCTGCTTTTATTGTTTCAAAGCAGTGTTTAATGTTCAGATAAAACTGTATGTCGCAGCATTTGTATGCATCAAGTGATGCTAGTGAAGCTATAAGAGGCTTCTCAGGTGCGGACTGTGCTTCGCTTTGTTGTTCAGTTCATGTTTACTGATAGGATCTGTGTGGTTACTCCATCATATTGGGGGTGAGCCAGGGTCATGTTGGTGCAATATTGCATTCGCCTTGAGGTTGAAATAATTTTGTTTGCTGTAATAGCTGTAAAACACCTTATTTCCCACTAGACATTGTTTCATACAAATATTTCAACACTGGTATTGAAAAGAAAGGAGCAAATATCAAGCACCAAAACTGCACTCGCTTTAGTCAAAAAAGAAAATAAAACTAATAAACTTGTAGTTTTAGACTTCACCTGTTCTATCTGATAAGTAACAAGTGAAGCTTTTGTAGCAATGCAGTGTATTTTTCATTTAGAAAAAAAAGTTCAGGGTTTTTTTGTTGTTGTTTTTTTTAAGCGTAGAAAGTATTATTGTGCCAGGCACTACATGGCTGCTTGGTTTTTCTGTCTGCCTGCAATCATCCAGACAGTGGAGTCTTTTCACATCAGGATCAGCATCCATGTAAGCTCTTAATTCTCTCCTCTTAACCAGTTATTGAAGAAATGTGCTGCTGGTGCAGAAAGAGAAATAAAAACACTGACCATCCAGCATTTACTCTGCCATGTAGCCATGTCTGACTTAGTTTGACTTTTACTACACCTTTAACTGTGCATGTTCTGTTGATAAAAGTGTCCAAGCCAACAGCTGCCTTAAAGCACCCCTTCAGTGACTTCCGTTTTCCTGCCAGAACAAATAAATCAATAAAAGTGTGACATTGTGGTGTGCTTTAAAAGTATCCTTCTTGCAAAAATTAAAGGATTGCATTTGTACGATTTCCTCAACTTTTCAGCCTATAAGCTTCTGCAAGTTGGCAAACATGCTCTTGTTTGCCCCCCCCCCCCCATGGCAGCCGCAGCCCTCATCTAGCTCGACACATCATTTTAATTACAGAGCCTCCATTGTCTGCACTGACCCATTTTAGCGCTTTCCCTCACCATCAGCTGCACCCAACCTCCAATCACATTTAATTTCTTCTGGCATTTGACTCAATCAGCAGTGCAGCAAACACGAGCTTAGAATTTCTCCCCGACCCCCATTCTCCCTACCCTCACAAGAAAAGGACCTGGGAATAACAATAACGATGTCCACTCCTTGCTCTGGTCATCCGCCGAGGCAGCCGTTCTGACACAGTACAGCTTTTAATGGTTGAAGATTGATTTCAGTGGCAGGGGACGTTTCTTAGGATGTTAGTCACCGTTCTCAGAGGAGATTGGGTACTGCTCTTAAACGGCCCTGGCAACACAATAAAATATGACTCAGAGAGAGAGATGGAGCCCAGAGAATTTCACACCACTAATTGGCTGTTGGACCTAACTTGATTGTGTTTTCTCTAATGGAGCTAATGTGATTTGGATCAAAGTCCATACTTGCTATACAGTATGTAAATTAGCCATACCTGTTAGTGTGATATTTGTTTTCCTGACTCATCACTTTCTGCTTTACAATTTGTAAGGGCCGTCGTGTTTCTAAATAATTGATGTGGAACATGAAAAGTAACTCAACTTGGAATCGGTTCTTAATAATGCAAACAAGACTTTTGCAGTCAGTCTGAGGTCAAAATCATGGACAGCTTGCTATTTGTCAAAACAACAAGCAGTCTAGTTATTTATGTAGACCTTGCCCAAATTCCCTCGGAGCTATTTACAACCAGCAGACATTTTTAAATAGTATTGATACTGAAACAGAAGAAAGATGAACTGCCCTGCAGTAGCCTTATCTCCACAATCAGAACAATGTTCCTTGGGCTTCAAAAGAGAATGATATCTCTGAGACTTTAATTTGTCATCTCAAAAAAAAAACAGAGGACAGAGTAAAGTATCAAAGATAAGGCCAACGTAAGGTTAATTACCAGCCAAGTGGCTGATGTAACCCAGCCAAGTCACATGTCAGCATTGCTCACAGTGAGGAACTGAAGGGATGCTGGCAGTGGATAGTCCTAAATTTGTATAAGCATTTTAATGTAAACTCCACAAAACCCAGTTCTTATTGGTAAGTCAGACATGGTTTTTTGGGGCAGCTCTAGCCACCTGGTGGTGGATGGGTTAAAAACAGAGAGATAATTTCATCTTTGTATGGGAATATACAATGATGACAATACATAACACATTAGAAGAAACTGGAGCAGTGGTGTAGTCTACATGATACGCGAGTATACGGAGTATACCACTAGAAAAGCTTAAGAATTTCAGTATACCCACTTAAAAGTTCCCAATGACACATGACGTATCATTAGGCACGTGTCATTGATATGTTAAATGGCAGTTAAATGCTTCCGTAACAATCCATTGGTATGCAGCGCTTGATTATTACATTCGCTTATCCAGCAAATTATTGTATAATACTTCTGTACTTACTACTTAATACTTGAACATGTTTTTCTTTGATACTGTTTTATAAATTCTATAACATGTTTTCAATACAAAGCCAACTGTTGTACAAAGTTAGTTGTACATTTATGGAAATATAAGCATCAGAGAAATTTGGAAATGTTCAGTATGCTTAAACACCAAAATAAATTGACAATTACATTGTACTAACCAGTGTACTTTGGCTTCTAAGCACAGTATACGGACTGACCGCAATAAAGTTAGTTTTACGCTGGACGTTGGACATTTGCGCCCCGTGGCTTCAACGGTATCCAACGTAAAACTAACTTTACTGCGGCATACCCACTACAAAAATGTAGACTACATCACTGAACTGGAGGACCAGTCAGCACAAACCACCTGTTTCAGCCACTCCAAAGAGAGCTTGTGGCTACTTTTCTTATTACTGCATAGTGCTGTTAACATTGCAGCTGACATCCCAGTCTCTCTCCCAGGCGTAGACTAATTAATGTATACCATTTGCAGTTGATTAGTACCAGTTCTTTCACTGATTTTTTTTGCTCATACCAACCCTTCAGAGGAACAGCATGGATAGAGGCTTGAAAATATGCACCGGTAATGCCGTTCTCAGTTCACTTTGATCTTAATTTGTTGTCACTGTTGTTCAGTGACTACTCTGTGCTTGAAGACAGTGACTTTGTAATAAACACACAAGACTAGTTATAGTTTTGCAGTGGAACTTCATGAAGATGTAAACATGCTGTGATCCCTTCTCTGAGTTGTGCAGCCTTGGTGTTAACTCTTCTCGCTCGTACAGAGGTGCATTGTGCTCCTGGGCACAGCTGCTAGCCCATAATTCTTCATTCTATGTCCCATTGTTCCTACCTGTCAGCGCAGTTGTGTCGCAGAAGAAACAAAGTGGCTGCCATTTTGCCAGCAGGCTATGTGTTGGTTGGGAGGGGTGAGGATGTTTGGAAAACATGTTATTTCTTACCAGAGTACAAGTTGTTATATCAGCTGCATTAAATAAAAATCCATTGTTACAACTCTCCATGGTTGTTGTTTTTTACACTGATATACCCTAAAGCACAGAATTGTTTCTGTTGTCATAAAATAAGGCGAAGTTCTTCATGAGAATGATATCACTCAAATGAAATGGTGAACCCAGCTGTTACAGACACACAATGTAAACACCCTCCATCTCTCTTATTTCCCCTCAGTATCACTTCTCCCATAGGTTATTTAAAGTTAATAACCTGCCACCACTTCGTGATTCTTGGCTTTGTGATGCAAACATATTCTTAATTGCTATCCCGTAAGAGCTGAATAGCCGGAGCAGATTCTCATTACCCAGGTTTGAATTGGCCGGGGCCTCTCACATGCCTCTTATCACGTAACAATAATGGAAGAGTGGCAGAATGCGGCTGTGCGTGTAGAGGCAAGGGTTAACCCAGTCAAAACAGTCAAAGCCAAGTGTGACGGTCTGTTATGAGTGACAGGTGTCCGTTGAGAAAGTGGTGCTGCTCACTCAACGTTCTGATTGTGTTATAGATTTTTTTTCCTTTTCTTCATTTGCAGTTCCAGAATAACAACAATTACATGAACATGGCTGAGGCGAATGGCGCTCTGCTTGCTGCTGGAGATGTGAGTACACATGACTGTTTTTTTTCCTCATGTTCAATTAACCTTATGAGTGCAGTAAACACTAAAATGTAAATGTAACACACTGTGGTTTCCTTTTTTTCTCCTTACGTTGTACCACCTAAATAAAGTGTCTATTGGCTATACGTGCTCATACCACAGGTTTCATAAATCATAGTTGTAGTGAACCAGATGACCTCAAATCTACCAGATGGACAGAGACTGTTATTTTCATTGATCTGAATGAGTCTGGGCCATCTGATGAACTTTCTTTCTTGAATTAATCAAGCAGAAAAGACAATTCTTTATAATCATTACTGTCTTACAAATGTTTTGATAATCAAATTGTGTTAGTTCACTCAATGCTTTACAGGTTGAAAAGAACTACTAATTTTTATTTTACATAAACAGTAAGTAATGATTTTTGTTCCTCATTCAGAGAAGAAATCACCTGAATATGCCTTTCTTGATTTTCTGTCTGAAATGAGCAAGCTGTCGTAAGTATGTGAAAGGTTGGTCTTCGGTCAACTAAAATGTTTACTGAAGAAGAAATGTCATGTTTAAACTTTTTCAGAAGATTACCAAGAGTAGACTCCAGAAAGTCTGCTGCTTCTGCAATAATCTTTTCTGTATGTTAAACAAGTTTCATTCTCTGACCTCGACTGTTGATAAACACCTTACGTCAAAAACACACCTCTTTCTGGTCCTTCCACGAATCAGAAAGCTCTAAACTGAACAGGAAGTAAACTCATTTAAAATGTGACAACTGCCCAGTTCAAGTTAGAATGAGAGCTGACAACAGATTGAGAGTTCTGAGAGATGTTGGATTGAGAGCGCAGCCGGTTTTGAAAGTTTCAGAACCGTGAAGAATCCAGAGGTTTTGGGATTATAATTCTGTTTTGAACTAACCACGCACGACTCTTCGAGGATTTTAGCTGTTTTCAACGGAGACGCTGATATCAGTTGAAAAGGATTCTTACTGAGCTGATCTATCATCAACCAGGTAACGGCCTCTTCTTCGACTAAAGTGTACCGTGGACAGGCTGGAGATCTGACGGAGCGTGCAACTTCTGGTCAAACAGATTAAATTCCCTCACACATTTCCTCTGTAAGATAAATCTCAATTTAATCTTAAACTCTTCTCTCTCATAAATCAGTACAGATATTTTTAGAAATGTCTGAAGCAAAGTCCTCAAATCACCGCCGAGTGATTTGAAGTTCATTTTCTGTGAAACTGTCTGTTATTATTTTCATATTTTGCCAAATTAATGTAAATGTTTGATGTTAAACTTTGATTTTGAAAATAAATGATTCCATTCATTTGATGGGTCAAAGATAAATAACGTCTCTCGTTCACATTTCTGTTAAATTCAATGCACGGCATTTACAGTCAGAAAAATGAAGAACTCGTGAATATTGTATGCATATATAATTCATATATTTGTCATACAACAAGTGACACGTACCTCACGTGTCTCACTACATAGTCATGCATTTGGCTTAATTCAAAACTTGTTTCAGAATAAATAAATTCTACATGCAACACAAAGTTCCCCAGTGATGAGTAATACATTTCCAAAACATGTCCCTTTGTTCTTAAACTTATACCAAAGTTCATCTTAATGAAAAGATGAGCTGAACTCATCTCTATTGTCAAGCAGTGAGTTCAGCAGGCTGGATTTAATGTGATTCGACTGCCTTGACTCTGAAAGAAAGGGCATTATCTCAGAAAGCTAGGGATAAAAGCTTTTTTCTTCCTCTGAAAAAAAAAAAAAAAGATTCACCGCAACTGGTTTACCCTCAAAATGTACATTGTCCCAACAACATTTTGTTGCTGAACTGCAGGAACAACTCTCTGGTTTACTTGTGCATTGAAAGAAAGAGTGAAGTAGTCGTTCCTCTGGAAATATGTAACAGCCTGAGTGAGCTATAATTGTCCTAACACTGAGCTAAATATACCAATTTTATTCCCCGTCCACCCACTCCGCTGCCCTGTCATTAGAGACAAGTACACCAAAAATACCCAGCATCCTCTGTGGTTCAAACAGTCCAATCTCATTCAGAGACTGATCTGGCTTCAAAACCCACAGCAAAAGCATCATTGCTCAGCTCCAAAGTATTGATATATGTCATTGTTAACCTTTTTTTTTTTATTGTGTCAGGGATGCAACTGTGTTCAGACAGCTTCATACAACCGTGTGGAGAGTGTGACCTTGTATTCACAAAGTGGCCCTTCACAAAGCCACAGAGTACTATAGAAAAAGTCTAATTTTTCCTCATATTTACGCTGACTGGGCATATCCTCTGACCGCAGGCTGCAGAGGCCCAATGCAGCAGGGACAGCATTGACACAGTCTGCTTGGAGAGCGTTCAGCCCCCAGCTGTGAGGGCCCACTGTGGCAATAAGAGGAAGGAGAGATGTGGGGGACTCTTAATAAAAACAGTCCAGCTCATTTGCATTTAATCAAAAGGAACAACTGTTTCCAGTGTTAGGGCACAGATGGCATTGTGCTTTAAAAGAAAAATAAAGGCAGGAAAAAAAACAAGTCTTAAAACATCACACTTTCTTTCAAGCAATGTGTCCAGAGTATTGCTTGCTTCAAACTGAGCTAGTTAGACTAAAGTAGCTTCCACTTTGAGCTGTGAGGTTTCACAATGGCCTCATTTGCTTAAATTGACTGGTCTATATTGAGAATACAAGGAAAGGAAGGCTTTTTTTTTATTAGTGCTTCATGATGAAGTGCCAGTCTTTAACAGCAGGCTTCAATTCATTCCAGCACATTTTGGTGTGGTATTCTGTCAAATTAAATCAAGCACATTGTATGAAAAGTAAGAGATAAGATGAGATAGAACTGTATTGATCCCGCAGGAAATTGTTGATTGTTGATTGACTGCAGTTGATTGATTGTTGTAATCAATAGGGAATGGCTGTTTCCTTTGAGTTACTTTGTGTACAGGCAAGTTGCTTTTTTCACAAATGGCATCAAGTTAAACACAAGTCTGTCTACGACATGCTGCTGTTTGCACCATATTGTATGTACTGTTAAGACAGGTGGCTTCAACAGACATGAAAACAGCAGACCTGTATTTGCAGTTTGAATAGCCGGTGTATCATTTACCTTGTGCACTTAGAGGATGAGATAAGATGACCTTGGTGTGTGTGTGTGTGTGTGTGTGTGTGTGTGTGTGTGTAGTAAAGCATACATTTTGGAAGGGAAAGCTTGACCGCCTCCCTCAGGGAAAAGGGATACTGTACACTGAGATTGTATTCCACTCAGATGTATCACTTTTCCATCTAAATCAAATTACAACCATGTAATGAGCTATAAATATGTAGAAATGGGCTACAAATGATCCAAATTTGAAATAATACTGATTAGGGGTGCCATGGTTGTTGATGTCATTTGAGTAGCTGCACTCTGCCTGACTAGGTATTTGAAACAGGGTTTTCAATGCAGCTACTATTGATTATGAAGCCTATTATTTGCAGTAATTGCATGCTGCTACCTTTAACAAGTCTTGGTTATTGCATCTTTGAATTGGATTACTGTGTTTATTGAAGGACTGGGACTATTGCCTAGAAAGCTTTTTCTTGTGCTTTGTCCCATTACTGAAAAAAAGCATCATGGCATCACAAGGATAACACCCAGAAGTGAAAGATTGAACCGCTTCATCTGTGTATGCTTTTTATCTTTTAAATACTCTAGTAAATATTGACATAAATGAAGGTGTATATGTATTCTGAGGAGGCTTGTAATAACCTTAAGCAAGTATACTGTAGTTTCATGATTTTAGGTTATATAATTCATTTAATGTAACATGTTTATTTAAATTTAATTAACAAAATGCTCATTTTTTTTAAACTGCTGCCTTATTATCATCATATTATTTATATTGATATGTAGTTTAGGGATTTAGCTGTAATACTATTTTTAATAGCTTTTCATTTTTTTAATTTAGATTTGTATGTGGTAGTTCTTACTGTCTACGGAGAGGAAGAGCATTAGTCAGTGTGTTTACAGGTATACTTTCTTGGAAATCAACATGTTCAGACAAAACACCAGAGCATCAGCAAGTTCTTCTAACTTGGGGGGGGGGGGGGGGTTGAGGGGGGTGCAGGTTGTCTCGACTGACTCAGTGCAGTGTGAATGTGAACCGCTCCAGCTGAAAACTAAACAAATATTATGAATATTTGTCCCCAATAGAACCAAGTTTACTGGACTATCAGGTGTGAAAAAACCTAAAAAGTCACAGGGAGGTTGGGGCACAGTGCGGGAGCAGGGGGTGAGCGTGATGGTGTATCACTTTTGGTATCTCTCCCGGCTGCAGTGATTTCGTCACATGCAAACACGCGTTTATTACGTAGTTGTTCAATAATTTGTTACATGTCATCACCTTTATGTAGGGTAGCTGGGTGTCCTTGGAACATATTCCAGGAAACACTGATTGGTGCTCTCACCTGCAGTCTGTCTGTTGGGAGACTGCTCTGGGCTCACTGCATGACCCGTCCTGCTCTGCTCTGATTGGGTCAAACTGTGGCTCGAGTTGTCTTTATTTGTTGAAAGCGCTGCCAGTTTAATCCCTGTATCATCATTGGATTGGATGTCTTTAACAAGACCACAACAACAAC